AAAACTAACCTGATTTAGGGCCTAAAGTATCTGTGGTAAAAAAATTTGAGCTCGATCGGACCATTTTTTCGAGGGGTCGTAATGTTACTGGACGAAAACCAGAGTTTTCTAGAAAACCCATAGAAGAACACGTCACAAAATTCTATGCAAAAATACATCGATTTTCTTTTTCGATGTTCTATCTCTGCTATAAATTTCACCTCGATCCGACATCGGCGTCCCCGGTTTTCAAGAGGATCAAAAAAGAGGGGGAGTACCCTTAAATCGAAGAGAATTTATTTTTAATAAAATAAAATAAACAAAGAAATCTTAAGGCAAATTTATTTCGTACATCAAAAATTGTAAAAAAAAATTGATTTTATAAAAAGATGATTATGATTTTTGCACGATGTTCAGGTGTGACAACAGTCGAAGTAATGGTCGCCCATGTATTAGTCAAATTTTTAATACAATTTATTCAAATATCATTCATGGTTATTTTTGCTGATCTTATATTCGAAGTACGTATTATTTGCTAGTTTCAGATAATTTTCATAGATCTACGTCTGTTTCTCCGTTTAGGTTCAAATCAAAGGTCCGATTTTACTAGCAATGGTATTAATATTTCTTCAAGGAATGTGTGGGATGAGCTATGGTAAGATCTAATTCCATAAACGTACAAAAAAAATTCATGTTCAAGTCTATTTCATTTGAACTTCTGCTCAAATTTGAAAATAGACACTAATATTATAAAAAAGAAAAATTGATGTTATATTGATAGTCTGCTTTTACTATCTATTTCAAATAACGATGCCTACGGATAATTTTTGAATAGCTTTTGATTGAAAAGGTAGAGATCTGTGATTTTCGCCATTCAAAAGCTAAAACTTAAGGGCATCTTATTTATGAAACAATAAGAATAGAAATCTTTGTCTAAAATATGATTTTTAGGAGATCTTTGAAAAAGTAATTCATAGCTGAAAAATGTTAAATATAAATGTATTGATCTTTTATCATCAGTAGATAGGAGCAGAGTGTCCAATTAAGTTAACCGACTCAGTTGTCTAAGGGCAGGACTAGAGAGTGAAAGTTCAGTATTCTAATTGTTTTGCCTGAATAGAAAATGAGGGACAAACAATATCATCATCCTCAGTCTTTCAGGTATGGTATCACATTTTCTAGAACTGATCATGATCTCCTTAGATTTTGCATCTGAAAGATGACTGGAGCAGATATCAGCTATAGAAGATCCAAACATAATTTGAGTTAAATTTTATGTAATACAGATGGGCTCAGCTGTAATGGCAATTTCATATTAGTTTTATTATAATTAATTTTGTAAAAGATATTAAAAACAATTTCTACTTTTTCTCAAGAATATTTTAGTATTTTACTTTACTTCAATAGCCATTATTGTTTTAGAACTAGGAATGCGATAGTCTCTTTTGTCTAGATGAAAAGTAAAGTGAGCACTCGAAAATGTATCTTATTTATAAGAACTCTTTTTGAGGATAGCGAAAAACTAAAGAAACAAGAAAACGTGCTATCTTGTATTAGTTCAAAAAAAGCGTCTAGTCGTATTTCATGTACATTTTGAGCTTTAGATTGAATAGAATACGATTAATTTTTCAGTGTCAGATTCCAAAGATTCTATCAGACATCTCTCTACTGTAAAATACGTTTAGGTCTTGTTATTCAACATACAAAAATCCTAGAATTAGTTTATTATCGTAAAAAACACCGCTAAAGAAAGTATTGGCCAAATCAATCACTCATGCTGTGAAGCTGATTTACAGAGAAATAAACACAGATAGCAACGACTCATCAACAAGATTTTGCATAGGGAATAATCGTTATTGTCTAAGTACTTTTCATGTGTTTTGGAAAATTATGAATAACTCTTTTCTTATTCGGAAACATCAAGCGCAGAGCCAAATTTTTTAGAAAACGTCTTTTTACAGCGTACACCACTTATCCAAAGTATCCTACCATTGTTTTTCTCACTACGAATGATTACTATTGAGCTGAAGTACTCCTATAGTGTGATAATCACTCGATAAATTTCAAATTTTTAGTTTCACGGATAACATTTTTTGTTAACCATTCATCCATCGTCAGTCAAATTTCAGCTCAACAATTTTCATGCGTAATGAGAGAGCGAGGGAATGGTGAAATTTTTTGACGAATATTGGAAATTTTCAAATTTGGTCAAGTTTTACTATGTGAATTCGATACGTGTGTTCATCGGTTTACTCACAGTTCGTCCCAAATTGCTCACTCTCACACCTGTTCATCCCTTTGATGTTGTTTGATCTTACAAAGCCAATTTGGGACGAACTGAGAGTACACCTGTTCATGCACATCAAATCTTTTTCAATCACGCTTAATAATGTCAAGAACAGTTGGAATTGTAAGAGTTTGTATTATTAACTGGATAATGCAAAAGATTAATGTACAGTTCAATATTTCAGTGACATTATTATCGTTATCTACAATTTCTACTCTTTTTAATTGTACCTTTGAAAATGATTTTTGATTGATATAATATGAGAAAATTAGAGATTCTTTCAGAAATTTAAATTGTACCTTTTAAATTCAAATTTTTGGATCTTAGATTGCCTCTATTTCCAAAGATATTTTTCATCATATAGCTAAGAATTTGCTCTTTCAAATGATACAAGAGCCCTGTATTTATCTATATGAAGAATATGTTTTTTCATAAAGAAAATATCATTACAGAGTCATTTTTTTTGCAATTTATGGATAATTATTGTACTGTATCTTATTTATTTGTATATTTCAACTGATTTTCCTTCTCAGTTTTTATTTTTGCAAGTATTTTACAGGTTTATTGATATCAGCTGTATGTGAACACGAAATTGAAGTTATTGAATTGGTTCTTGGATCTGTATTTCCAATACTATTGAGTAGCGGTAAGTGTCAGTTTATACTATTTTGGTCAATAATATCTAAACGGACTTCATACGCTTAATAGGTGTTATTTGGCCAGTAGAAGGTATGCCGCATGTCATGCGTGTTATAAGTAATTTTACACCATTGACACATTCGGTTGAAGCAATGAGATGTATTGCATCAAAAGGTAGATTGTATTTGTGATAAATTTAGAGAAAAATATATTTACTCTTAAAAACTCTTTCGTTTTAAGCATGGTCAATCAGTCATTTTAAAGTATGGTTTGGTTTTGTTATTGTCAGTTCATGGAGTGCAGGGTTTTTTATTATTGCTGCAGCACTATTTGCATTACGAAAATAAAGATTTCGTCTAAATATTTATTAAAATAGTGAGTGACAAATATCTAGTCTTCATCGATATTCTTTTTCTATAAACTTATAATTCTAAAATGTGTTTCCATCAATTTTGTATCTGTTTTGTTAAGATTTTTATATCAATTATGTTGTACTGTATGAAAAGAAAAATATTAGATAATAAATATTAATCAGTCAATGTAGTAGGCTGAAACTAACAATTATTTGTCATAACACAAATAGAAAGTCATATCAACTCACTGTCCGCGTCTAAAGCGTATTCATACATGACTACGTGCATCGTCTATAAATGTGAACTTCCAAGATGAGTTTTATCTTCTCATATATTTACAATATTACTTTTTTATTTTTCAAATTGGATACTTATTTACTGTAAAAATGATTGAAACCATGATAATATTCATGTTTCAATGGATATTATTTCCATACAATGTTCATCTACAAATGATCAAATTTTTTTCCCTCTTCAAGTCTCGTTTTTCAGTCTTTTTTCTTGCTATTGGTCAAACAGAAAGCTGATGTTGATAAATGTGTGTTAACTGCATTTAGAGGAGGATGAAAAGTGTTAATCGGTCATCCATTTCGTGGCTGATTAACATTTTTCATCCACCAAAGTGAATGACTATACGGTATGGCCAGCTAACTCTGCTATCGTAACAGAATTCCGTAACGGTTTTTCATCATTTTGTTTTACCTACAATTTTTGAGACATCTCAACTGCCGTAGTCATGGGACATCTTAAGTTGAAGAGAGAAAAGTCTGGTTAATATTTTAAGACGTTTTTCAGCCTTACAACATGTATCGTTAAGAAGCTGTAACCTAAACCTTGGACATTAGTTTTTACTTTTTTCGAATTTAATTTTTGCAAAGCTAGTGTCCAATGTTTAGGTTACAGCTTCTTAACGATACATGTTGTAAGGCTGAAAAACGTCTTAAAATATTAACCAGACTTTTCTCTCTTCAACTTAAGATGTCCCGTGACACTCTACAGCAGTCAGTTTAGGAATTGTAGCTAAAACAAAATGATGAAAAACCGTTACGGAATTCTGTTACGATAGCAGAGTTAACTGGCCACGCCATATATTTAAACAAAGAAAAATCATTTACTTTTTCAACTACCACGCCAGAAAAGTGAATGATATGTTTATCCGCTACGATGAAGTCGACATTTACAGTTTGATCATATTTGCTAAAAGTTTAACTACTGTTTCTTGTTTCTGTTTATCAGTTAAAGAAGCATTCAATGTGTAATCAGTCAACACTCACAATAAATATAGCAAACAATCAGATGTCTGTGTTCCCTTAAGATGTATTCTGAGCGACACATTTGATGTATAACATGTCTTGTCACTCTGCATGTTATTTTGCAGGAGTTAGTTAATATTTGATGCTGATTTATTTCCATTACTTCACAAGTGAGTTCAGGTAAGCTGGCCATATGTCTGGCACATCTGATATATTCTCGTAGATGATACAGTTTTACAAGATAGATGAGACAAAAATCTTTTAAAAGCATATTATAGGACACACTCATGTGTTACAATTTTTATCTACAGTTATTTAATATTTTTTTAATCGTAGAACTGTATTATTAATGACAATAATTATTACGTGTAGATAAAAAATTGTCGATGATAAAAGTGTTTTTTTATCTAAGTTTTATTTTCGTATTTACATTTATTATTCTTACCGGATGTTAATTAATTTCTTTTTAGGACAATTTATCTATATTGTAACTGAAGATGATTATCCTGTTTGTGAATAATCTATTTTTTCACTCATTTTTAAATGACGTTTTAAATTAGGCCTGATTGTTGATGATATTTACTCCACGATTTTCGAGATAAAGGTGAGATTGTTGTTGCTGTTGTTGTTGTTGTTAATGTAGATAATAGTACATCGTCAATGGGATATTGTTGAATTGGTTTGGGCATTAATTGCTTTAGTCTAACAAGTTCATCGATTTTATGCGATAATCGTAATGTTAATGTTACGACTAGAATACAGACAATGAAAATAATGATGGCAACAACTGTAACAACGCGTGCAATTATTTTCTTTTTTCTTTCACTTTCTAACGATGATGCCTGACTCTGAAATGAATATCGACAAATATAATTTGTTTGATGGGGTAAGGTAGACGTAAATGATAGACAATAGTCAGTTTTCAATGATAATTCTCGAGGTTGACTATGTTGACCAAAAATGGATGTAGATGAATCGGATTCATCAACATCAAGCGATAGAACCTTGTTATCATAATCGAATGCAGTTGAATTACGACCATGTCTATTATAATCAAGTGAACGTGAATTACGTAATATAGTTGATTGTTCAAGAATAGCTGGTGATGATGAGTATGATAGTAGACGCATGTTTCACTCAGTTATTGATCTTACATCTACAATCTATAGAAAAACAAAAATTATATACAAACGTTGGTAAACGGAGAAAATATACGACAATATTTGTTTATAATAATAAAAAAATATCATTACATGTCTGTTAACCACCAAGACTAAATATAAGTTATTCAATTGACATGCTGAAAATAAGGTTTATACATTTTCACATATTTCCAAAAGAATAAATAGTAAACGCGAAATATTGTGAGAAAAACACATATACACATACATATAATAATTGGAAGTTGAAGTCGAAAGGTGTCATGCTTATTTTCTCTTTTATCATTTGAACAACACTAGTAATAACTTCAGCATACAATTATAGAACGTTTTCGCAGAACATCTTTTTTTTTTTCTTCTTCTTCTCCACAAACAGATTAAGTATCTTATTACTATAAATAAAAAGGAAAGACATTCATTATGAAGTAGTCTCCAGACTATAGAAAAACAAAAAATATCAAACAATATACACAATCAAATCAAAACATAAACATTAGACGATTAACAAATCAACTAAATCCATTTTGATAATCTGAAAAACGATGACATTTCTATTAATTAATTTCCTTTATCAAATATTCAATTTCTATATGAAAAGGATATTTGTTGTCATTATGTCAAAATATATAGATATTTCTCTATCATAATTTACTTCAATATACTCTATACATCATTAGATAGATAAAGTTCTACAAGATTGTTTTATTATTTCCTGGTTGATTATTTCTAGATCCGAGAACAAAAAAAAAAAATAGTATAGATATATCTATTTTCTTTTAACTTTTCAAAAACTATGATAGATGTGGCACTTGATATTGAATTAAATTCTTAACAATGTAGATCAAAATTCTCTTTTACATGAGAAGATTATAAAAGAAGAAGAAAAGAAATCAACTATTTTAAATCTTGTGATAGTTTATTAGAAAATGTTTTCAAAAAACTATTAATGATGAAAAAATATTAAACATTTTTTTTTTTTAATTATCGTATAGGCCATCTTAGCCTGTTATTATATACCCTCAAGTCTAATTTTGCTTCTTATAATAGCAGTGTTATCAATAGAAAGTCCTCTGGACACATTTAATGTTGTCAAATTAATACCAAAATATATTATTCAAAGGTTCAACATCATGTTGTTGTTTTTTCGTTTTTCTTCTATATTAGAACGTTTTTTTTAATCTTTTTCTTTTTTTCAACGTTCATACATTTACGTTCTAAGCATTAAAACTAATTATTTTTCTTATTCTCATTTTCTTATCAGTTTGAACGCAAATAATTATATAATAAATAGATGGACCCATTTCACAATTATTGTCGACCCAATATAGAAAAGTACTTTCTTGATTTACTACTGATTTCATTATTTATGAGTATTCATAATGAAGATGATATTGTACTTCTTTCCAGTTTTTATACTGAATGACGTCAATTGTTCGCACGTTCTACCATGATATTTTATCAAAAAAAAACAAAAAAAAAAACGAAGAAAATAATATATTTTTTCTTTTTTTCCGGTGGTTTTGTCATATACAATGCCTACATCGTCAATACATATAGAAAACAGTTTTTTGTGTTTCTCTCTATCTCTCTAATGAGATCCCTATAAATTATGATATTATTAATCAGCAACTTTAGTAACACTAGATCTTATTCAAAACTAAAAATAAATCTTACTATATAAACTATACAAGCATCAAGTTCGCTAGTAGAAACATAAGATTTCTTTGAACAATTTCAATCTTCACTACACTCGTGCCTTTGAGTCAATTAACCAATCATTTTCAAAGTCAAAAAAAGATGACGGTGTATAACACATGTAGAGGATAAATCCTAGACGTAGTTCCTAGCGAACTTGACGTTAAAATTTTGCATGTCCACTTTTAATGAGAATTTATTGGGTATTATTCAACAGTTTCTTCAAACTGAATTACATTGAAAAATTAGTTTGAGGGATGTCCGAGTTCCACTAATTTCGAAAATCTACAAAGTTCACAAGAACTTTACTCTCTCATACGAGAATTTTACTTGTCTGAATGGAACTCAGAATATCACAGATACGTTCTTCACGATAATTTTAGTCATTTCGACAGGAATTTTACTTCCTTTCACGAGAACTTTAGTTATAAAAGAAGACAGAACGTTCATCTCCACGATCTAGCTGATAGTCAAATGTATTATGGATTAGATGGTGAATTCCTGTTTCGTCGAAAAATAAAACTAGAACTAGGATATAGATTATTCTGATTAATAGACTGTATTGAAAAAAGTAGAATATAGATTATTAATTAATAAGACCTTTTTAAATAGACTAATTAAAAAGAATGCTGAATTATTCCAAATGATTCTATTGAAAAAGTACATGCGTACATTATTAAAGCAAGAAACAATACAAACGAAAAATAAATGAAAATGAAAACTTTTTGATACTAATTAATCGCATCACTTTTTCAAGATATTCTTCCAGTGTTAATGTCTGTTGTTTATAACGATTTTCTAAATTGTGTAATCGTGCATTTCGATTCACAAATAACTTTTTTCTTGGTGGTATTGAACCAGTGGCTGCATGACGTGATGATATTGCTGGATTATATGCATAAGCGTTTTGAATAGCTCGAATAAACATATAAAAATGTGGATGTATGATATGATTTAAATCAGTAGTAAACGATGATGCCAACCTTCTAAACTATTATTTGTTCTTGAACTTTTAGAATCAAAATAACTCCACAGTGATAAATCGAATAATGCATCATTATCCACCCACGTACTTGTTACATAATCATAAAATACCTCAATATCCTGAAATTGATCCATAATCAATATCTATATTTTCCCAACTTCTTGCGGTGGCATGAATACAAGTGCACATGTTTTCTTGATTGTGCAGTTTCTTCGTACTTGGTGGATCCGATCCATATTGTATAGCACGGCCAGGACTTCACATTTCCAATAAACAATAGTATTCACAATTTTGTCTTGGGTGTAACGAAAAGTATCAAGTAAAATAAAATTGATTTCTTACGGTTACGTTCAACAATAGCTAACATGAAATATAGTGCAAGATATATCAGAGAAATCACTATGTTAAGGTTTAATACAAATAGAATGAATAGTGATTAATTTCCGTTTCTAACTACATGTATATATACTTACTTCATTTAGAATAATTCAGCATTCTTTTTAATTAGTCTATTTAAAAAAAGCTTATTAATTAGAATAATCTATATTCTAGTTCTAGTTTTATTTTTCGACAAAACAGGAACACTAGAAAAAAATGTTTTCGACGAAATAGGAATATTAATTAAGCTTTCGACGAAACGGGAACTAACCGGATTAGATAAAGCCAGATATACAAATTTCATCTAATATCTAAACTTTCTTCTGCTCAGCGGCCCAGTCTCACGCTGCCGCTGTCCGCTCTATATTAGTCGTAGTTACCTCTCACATATATATATATATATATATGTCGTGCCGAAGTTATAACTTCAACACCGACGTTTTGTCGAAGTTATTTTAGGCGGGCTAAAACGTAGTGATTACTTGATTGACAATACTATTTTCAAAATATCTAGTTAAGGTTAATCTTTAGGTTTAATTTCACAGATGACAATCTTTAAACTCTTTACGAGATGAAAAATATCACCAACTGTTTGAACTCGTTACGAGTTGAAATGAGTGTTATATTGCCACAAAGTATACGAAGATGGGTTCGTCGGGACGAGCGTGGGAGAGGAAAAGATGAGAGTGGGTGGATATAAATACTACAGTGCTTAGAATATAGAGATTTCGGTCTATAAACTAATAACATTTATATCGACTCTTTACGAGTTCAAAACAGCCTCACCTACCTCCCCAGTCTTCCTAAAGTAGCTAAGAATATAACACTCATTTCAACTCGTAACGGAGTATAACACTCATTTGTACTCGTAACTAGTTCAAACAGTTGGTGATATTTTTCATCTCGTAAAGAGTTTGAAGATTGTCATCTGTGAAATTAAACCTGAAGATTAAACCTTAACTATATATCTTGAAAATAGTATTGTCAATCAAGTAAGCACTAAGTTTTGGCTCGCCTAAAATAACTTCTACAAACTTCGGTGTCGAAGTTATACCTTCGGCGCGACATATATATATATATATAGCAGATAACCTTAGGTTAGGTAGAGAGAAAATTCCTGTCGGAATGACTAAAATTCTCGTGGAGATGGATGTTCTAATCTTCTTGGATAACTAAAGTTCTCGTGTAGTAAAATTCTGGAATTTGTCTTTCTTGTGGTTTGTGAAATTTTTTCACATTTCTTCAACGCGCAAATTTCTCACGCTAGGAAACAACTTCTTGTTGAAAAAGCAAAATTCCAAAATTCATGGAACTCAGATACTGCTGATTTTCTAGCATAAAGAGATTTTTCTTCAATACGAATTTGTGATTTGTATAGAGACTGTAGTGCATCTCACGTTGTCTATGTGCATAAATTTTATCTACCGTTTAATTTCTTTTCTCATAGATGCAGCTAAAATTAATTAAGAGACATAAGTGTGTAGTTGTGCTGAATATATGAAAAGAGCTTTTCGCTAATGTATAATATTCAGACAATCAAGAGAAACCATGCTTCTTTACCTAGTCAACTGGTTGAAACCAGTTAATCAGATATCAAAGATCAACGAGAAGTATTGTATATTAGCTCTTATCTGCACATCAGCGGTAGAAATTGAGTTCACTCTCGCTTATGAAAGATAAAAATTTTTATTTCGCACGATTATGATAGAAAAGGCGTTCAAACTTATGAAAGACCTTGTACCGAAATCAACTAGTGTGAGTGCTTGCTTATTCAATGCACAATACCAGCAGAAGACTAGTATCTATTCCACGTATTAAACTTCACCTATAATTCATTGATATTTTGCAGCTAGGGAATAGAATTTATCAATAGAATTGATCAAGCTCATTAGAAGTTTTAAAGAGAAAATAA